ACAGGTACAACCACCAGGGGTCACTCTCCAGGTATCAGGTACAACCACCAGGGGGTCACTCTCCAGGTAACAGGTGTCATGTACAATCCCCAAGGGGTCACTCTCCAGGTAACAGGTATCATGTACAACCACCAGGGGGGTCACTCTCCAGGTAACATGTACAACCACCAGGGGGTCACTCTCCAGGTAACATGTACAACCACCAGGGGGGTCACTCTTCAGGTAACAGGTGTCATGTACAACCACCAGGGGGGTCACTCTTCAGGTAACAGGTGTCATGTACAACCACCAGGGGGGTCACTCTCCAGGTAAAAGATATCATGTACAATCCCCAGGGGGGTCACTCTCCAGGTAACAGGTATCATGTACAACCACCAGGGGGGTCCCTCTCCAGGTAACAGGTACAATCACCAGGGGGTCACTCTCCAGGTAACAGGTATCATGTACAACCACCAGGAAGGGGGGGTCACTCTGAAGGTAACAGGTATCATGTACATACAACCACCAGGGGGTCACTCTCCAGGTAACAGGTATCATGTACAACCACCAGGGGGGTCACTCTCCAGGTAACAGGTATCATGTACACCACCCAGGGGGGTCACTCTTCAGGTAACAGGTGTCATGTACAACCACCAGGGGGGTCACTCTTCAGGTAACAGGTGTCATGTACAACCACCAGGGGGGTCACTCTTCAGGTAACAGGTATCATGTACAACCACCAGGGGGTCACTCTCCAGGTAACAGGTATCATGTACAACCACCAGGGGGTCACTCTCCAGGTAACAGGTAAAACCACCAGGGGGTCACTCTCCAGGTAACAGGTAGCATGTACAACCACCAGGGGGGTCACTCTTCAGATAACAGGTGTCATGTACAACCACCAGGGGGGTCACTCTTCAGGTAACAGGTATCATGTACAACCACCAGGGGGTCACTCTCAGGATAACAGGTATAAGGTACAACCACCAGGGGGGTCACTCTTCAGGTAACAGGTATCATGTACAACCACCAGGGGGGGTCACTCTCCAGGTAAAAGATATCATGTACAATCCCCAGGGGGGTCACTCTCCAGGTAACAGGTATCATGTACAACCACCAGGGGGGTCACTCTCAGGTAACAGGTATCATGTACAACCACCAGGGGGGTAACTCTCCAGGTAACAGGTGTCATGTACAACCACCAGGGGGTCACTCTCCAGGTAACAGGTATCATGTACAACCACCAGGGGGGGTCACTCTCCAGGTAACAGGTATCATGTACAACCACCAGGGGGGTCACTCTCCAGGTAACAGGTATCATGTACAACCACCAGGGGGGTCACTGTCAGGTAACAGGTATCATGTACAACCACCAGGGGGGTCACTCTCCAGGTAGGTATCAGGTACAACCACCAGGGGGGTCACTCTCCAGGTAACAGGTATCATGTACAACCACCAGGGGGGTCACTCTCCAGGTAACAGGTATCATGTACAACCACCAGGGGGGTCACTCTCCAGGTAACAGGTATCATGTACAACCACCAGGGGGGTCACTCTCCAGGTAACATGTACAACCACCAGGGGGGGTCACTCTTCAGGTAACAGGTGTCATGTACAACCACCAGGGGGGTCACTCTTCAGGTAACAGGTGTCATGTACAACCACCAGGGGGGTCACTCTCCAGGTAAAGATATCATGTACAATCCCCAGGGGGGTCACTCTCCAGGTAACAGGTATCATGTACAACCACCAGGGGGGGTCCCTCTCCAGGTAACAGGTACAATCACCAGGGGGTCACTCTCCAGGTAACAGGTATCATGTACAACCACCAGGAAGGGGGGGGTCACTCTGAAGGTAACAGGTATCATGTACATACAACCACCAGGGGGGTCACTCTACAGGTAACAGGTATCATGTACAACCACCAGGGGGGTCACTCTTCAGGTAACAGGTATCATGTACAACCACCAGGGGGTCACTCTCCAGGTAACAGGTATCATGTACAACCACCAGGGGGGTCACTCTCCAGGTAACAGGTATCATGTACAACCACCAGGGGGGTCACTCTTCAGGTAACAGGTGTCATGTACAACCACCAGGGGGGTCACTCTTCAGGTAACAGGTGTCATGTACAACCACCAGGGGGGTCACTCTTCAGGTAACAGGTATCATGTACAACCCAGGGGGTCACTCTCCAGGTAACAGGTATCATGTACAACCACCAGGGGGTCACTCTCCAGGTAACAGGTAAAACCACCAGGGGGTCACTCTCCAGGTAACAGGTATCATGTACAACCACCAGGGGGGTCACTCTCCAGGTAACAGGTATCATGTACAAACACCAGGGGGTCACTCTCCAGGTAACAGGTATCATGTACAACCACCAGGGGGGTCACACTCCAGGTAACAGGTATCATGTACAACCACCAGGGGGGTCACACTCCAGGTAACAGGTATCATGTACAACCACCAGGGGGGGGGTCACTATGAATAATAGATGCGGAGCAGGACAAGAATCCATGTTAAGGGGGGGGGGAGGGGCTCGCAGTAAGCCGCGCCCAAACAGAAAATGCTAGTAGTGTAGTATTTTTTATGAATGAAATTCCAAAGATATATCCAGGTAAAAAAAAACACTCACATTGGTGTGACAGTGGTTGAGTTGGCCGCCGGCCTAACACGTGGCCTGTCGGGGGGTGACGTCACCACACTGGCTCCTCCCTAACGTTTTGCGCCTGAAAGCGTTATCAAAGGGAGCGTCAGCAGTTTAAATAGCATATTGCGCGCATATGCGATTGGGTGTATTGACGCCATCTTGGTCCGCGATGCATACGCGAGCGGCCATTTTCTAGGTTATACACAAACAGCATTAGGAGACAGATAGATGTGGATGCAGATGTCTCGTCTCGTCCCGGGAATTACCGCAAAACCAATTCCGTTTATGTCCACAGGATAATCGGCGGGTTAATAATAACCCCGTAGGCACAAAGGATAAAATGATTCACAAATCGGGGGTTATGTCTTGCAAGACAATAAAGAATAACCCCCTCCATTTTGTCGTGGACACAAGGGTACTGGATCACAGACAGGAACGTCTGTATATCAATGGGATGATATCAAACTCATATTCGTGGACTACAGATCCCAGCAAGAAATAGCTTTTTATTGATAATACTGTCTCTGTGTTGCTGTGTATAATGAAATATTAATGATCACAGAAAAACTCACATTTTATACTATATAAAAAGGAACATATGGAAAAACGCATATCCCCCACTTTATTACCCAAAGAGGAATATGTGTCCGCTAAAACAAGTGAATCAAATCTTAATACCTTAAGCAGGTCAAAGAACATCGGCCGATTTAAAAAAAAAAAAAAACAACAAACGAAAAGTTGTTCGATCGGCCGACGTTACCACCGTTAAAAAAATCGGCCAATTTGTGGCCAGCATTAACCCCATAACTTCTGTCCCTTGCAGAGACGGGAGCACACCATATAATGAGAAGACGGAAGGAAGGAGGAGGAGAAGGAGGAGGAAGAAGGAGGAGGAAGAAGAAGAAGAGGAGGAGGGAAGAAGAAGAAGGGAGGAGGAAGAGGAGGAGAAGGGAGGAGAGAGGAGGGAGGAGGAGAAGGAGAAGGGAGGAGGGAAAAGAAGAAGAGAGTGAAAATGAAGAAATCGGCCGATCGTCAAAAATCGGCCCCAAATTTTCCAACATGACCGATAAAAAAAAATGTGCAAAAACCCCGAAAAAACGGCCGACAATTAACCCACTAACGGTGCTAAAATCGGCCAATTTTTTTTTCAGACGAAAAATAGGCCGATTTTCAACTCGTCTGTGGCCGGCTTAACTCCATAACTTCTGTCCCTTACAGAGACAGGGGAGTGCACCATACAATGTGAAAGCAATACAAATACATTATTTGGATTACAATGTTTTTAATGGATACATTTGTTGCAACCGCAAGACTTTTTCATATAAAATATAATAGCGGACTTCTGCTTCTTCCTCTTCTCTTCTTCTTCTTCCAGGTCACGGCTCATGTGCAGATTTTTTATCGGTAAAATGATCGGCCGATTTGCCCATCATTTCCGGGAAAATCAGCCAATCGTCAAAACTGGCCACAAATTTTCCAACATGACTGATAAAAAAAAATATGCAAAAACCCCAAATACAGCCAACCAATTAACCCACTGACGGTGCGAAAATCAGCCGATTTTTGACCCGTCTACGGCCGGCATTATTCACCAACTGATCACACATAAAAACATAGAAGCAGACCATATAGATAAACACAAACAGATCCATGGAAAAAAGAAGAAAATAAAAAATATTTAAAGTATAAATGAAAAAAACCAAATAGGATATAAATGAAAAAGGGATCTTTTGTAGATAAAAAAAATCTCAAAAGGGTAAAAATGTGAATAAGGTATCAATAGTAGAACATAAAATAAAAATATTATAAAATGATAGGAATTCCTAAACGAGGGGCATCAGCACATAGTGGTTAATACTCTCTATAAAATATATAAACGATTAGATGGCAATAATATCATAAAAAAACCATCTAAAAGGACACTGGGGGGAAAATCAACTAAAACCACCGAAAGAGGAGGTAAATGAAAGGTGAAAGTAAATCTAAAACGCATGCGAAGAGGACAAGATATTAAAACATAAAATATGAAATAAAATAATGTATCCAATGGGGTATATATAAAAAGGAGTGATAAATGAACGGGGGTACTCCTTAGCTATAATCAATAAAACGATGAATGTCGAGATCGACATTTAAACCTAGTGGAGATAAAGAGCGGAGATCAAATATCCATTTGGTTTCTAATTTAGACACCGCTCTGCGTTTAAACACCCCAGGGGGTGCATCTTCCCCACATGAGAGCTGGGGTGTCCAGCAACATTCATCTAGAAGACATTTCCTGCACTCAAAACACTAATACACCTCCAGGGTTGTGTGGGACCCCTGATGTACAGGAAGACAAGACTTCAGTGAGGAACATTTCCCTCACTCAGGACAGGAACGTGGCTTCTCCCCCGTGTGAGATCTCTGATGTATGTAAAGACTGGACCTCGCTGAAAAACATTTTCCGCACTCAAGACAGGAATACGGCTTCTCCCCCGTGTGAGATCTCTGATGTATGTAAAGACTGGACCTCGCTGAAAAACATTTCCCGCACTCAAGACAGGAATACGGCTTCTCCCCCGTGTGAGATCTCTGATGTATGTAAAGACTGGACTTCCGTAAAAAACATTTCCCACAGTCAGGACAGGAATGAGGCTTCTCCCCGGTGTGAGTTTTCTGATGTTCGATAAGATTCATCTTTACTGAAAAACATTTCCCGCACTCAGGACAGGAATGAGGCTTCTCTCCTGTGTGGGTTCTATGATGTCTGACAAGCTGCGATTTTGTTACAAAACATTTCCCGCACTCAAAGCAGGGATGTGGCTTCTCACCTATGTGAGATCTTAAATGTGAAATGAGATGGGAATTCAAACTAAAACATTTCCCGCACTCAGGACAGGAATACGGCTTCTCCCCCGTGTGAGATCTCTGATGTATGTAAACACTGGACTTCCTAAAAAAAAAACATTTCCCGCACTCAGGGCAGGAATGTGCCTTCTCCCCTGTGTGAGATCTCCGATGCTCATTAAGATGCTTTTTATCACTGAAACATTTCCCGCACTCAGAACAGGAATATGGCTTCTCCCCTGTGTGAGATCTTTTATGCACATCAAGACCGGATTTAGATTGGAAACATTTCCCGCACTCAGTACAGGAATACGGCTTCTCCCCCGTGTGAGATCTTTTATGCACATTAAGACCGGATTTAGAGGTGAAACATTTCCCGCACACAAAGCAGAAATACGGCTTCTCCCCTGAGTGTGATCTCTGATGTATGGAAAGATAGGACTTCCTTGAAAAACATTTCCCACACATATGGCAGGAAAACAGATTCTCCCCCGTGTGCAATTTCTGATGTATGGAAAGACTGGAACTCTGTGAAAAACGTTTTCCGCACTCAGGACAGGAATACGGCTTTTCCCCCGTGTGAGATCTCTGATGTGTGTAAAGATGGGACTTTTGAGAAAAACATTTCCCACACTCAGGACAGGAATATGGCTTCTCCCCTGTGTGAGATCTTTTATGTACATGAAGAGCAGATTTAAAATGGAAACGTTTTCCGCAGTCAGTACAGGAATATGGCTTCTCCCCTGTGTGAGATCTTTTATGCTCAATAAGAATAGATTTAACACTGAAACATTTCCCGCACTCAGAACAGGAATACGGCTTCTCCCCCGTGTGAGACCTTTTTATGCACATTAAGACCGGATTTAAGTTTTGAAACATTTCCCGCACTCAGTACAGGAGTACGGCTTTTCCCCCGTGTGAGACCTTTTATGCACATTAAGACGGATTTAAGTTTGAAACATTTCCCGCACTCAGTACAGGAGAACTTCTTCCCTGTTGGAAGGCCGGCCTGGTCCTGCACAGTCTGAAGTTCCTCAATAAAAGAATTCAGCTTCCCAGCCGTGTGAGTTTTTTGATGTCTGTAAAGATGAGATGATACTGAAAAACATTTCCCGCACTCAGGACAGGAGTATGGTTTCTCCCCCGTGTGAGATCTTTTATGCCTATCAAGATGGGATTTACATTGGAAACATTTCCCGCACTCAGTACAGGAGAACCTCTTCCCTGTTGGAAGGCCGGCCCGGTCCCGCACAGTCTGAGGGTCCTCAGGATACAAGGAATCCGATGGTCCATCTACACTGGGTGGTGCTGGATGGACATTGGAGGGAGCCGGGTTTTCTCCTGGACTATACTGTGTGATGTCCTCATCTTCTACTTTCCAGTCTGGAGACAAAGTGAGACAATCCTTGGAGGTTTTCCTCATCTCCCGGCCATGGACTAAAATACAAAGACAAAGAGGATTACTAGACAGGAGCTGATTGGTTCCCCCAAACCAGGACTCCACCCTCATCAGGCAGCTTGGTCTCTGAGGAGCTTACAAGTTTAATGGTTCCTCCTGAGCTCCAGGCTCTTGTCAGACAGAGAGAGATCCAATGAGAACTTTATCACCTGGACCAATCAGTGAGCAGTATGGGTGGAGGAATGGATTTAGTGTTCATGACCCACCTGTGCTGATCTCTGTAGGAGTGTCCTCCTCTATAAATGTCCCCGTTATTCCATCCTCCTCCATAGACTGCTGATCATCCCTCACATACGCCTCTTCTTCTTCTGATTTCACCTCAAATTCTATATCGATTGGATCTCCACTCTACATCAAGAGAAGGAGAGAAAATATCATCTGTAAGATAGAAGATTTATTATTGTGACATCACATAGAAAATCCGCACATCGTCTCCATGAGTCCATGTTCTAGATTCTCCATCCCACCAACCTTGCAATAGTGAGGGATGGTGTGACCTTCCTGTGTGGAATCCCGGGAATACAGAGGACGGGGACATCTCTCTGGTGGGTTCCTGGTATTAGGTGGCTCCATCATATCCTTGTGTCCTTCTGAAAACTCCTCCATCACTCCATACTCCTCATCCTCCTCTTTATACTCTTCTTTAACATCAACATTATCATCCCCGAGGATTCCACTCTGAATATATAATAAAACACACATTGTAACAAACATGCTGTGTATAAATGAGAACCAACAGTGATTGTTCCTCATCTACTGATGATGGTGAGGGATGGTGTGACCTTCCTGTGTGGAATCCCAGGAATACAGAGGACGGGGACATCTCTCTGGTGGGTTCCCATGACTGGATCCATCTGTAGGAAACACACACACTGACCGAATCCATTGTTTCTATGTGTTTATCAGATGATGGGGGATCTAGGTGGATCCTCCGTACTGCTCTCTCCTTTCCAATAAAGTCTCCTCTTACCCGGTGATGTGAGGGGCAGCTGATTGTCCATCATGACGTCCTTGTAGAGGTCCTTGTGTCCTTCTAAATACTCCCACTCCTCCTTAGTAGATACGGTTCCAGAATTCCCAGCACCGCTCACCTCTCCTGTCAGCAGCTCCATCATCTTCTTGGTGACTTCTAGAATCTTCTGCATGTTGTGTCTCTCAGGAGTCAGTGAGTGAGGTCGAGGCACTTCGATGGTCACACGGTCACCAAACTTCACAGGAGGCAAACTCTAAATCAAATCACCAATAGTGACGTCATACAACATTCCCAGAATCCTCCTCACCTCTCCGGTCAGGTCTGTGTTTTATTAATAACCCTACCCTGACCTGCAGCCCACCTGACGACCCCCCCATAACCTTCCAATCTGGGACTCACGCAAACTGGAACCTGTAATCTAGAACCTACCGAACTGATCTCTATCCACCCAGAACCTAATCACTAGAACTCCGGCTACTAGAAGCTACTTCAATGAGATACGCCACTGCACAACGGACTATCCGCAACCATGCGCCTTGAGAAACCTTTCACCTCCCTCACCTGTCCACCACTCTGTTTACCCTCCTAAAATGCCACCTGTACTCCTCCTCATACTCCTCTCCTCCATTCCCAAAATCTCCTCTCTCTACCCCCTTACTCCTCCAAAACAACTATCCATTGCACCCTCACTACTTCCATCTCCCCACTACGGCTCTCACCACCTCCTCCTGTTACTCCACTCTCCCACTGACCCACACGCCACCATTGGCAGGCACATCCTGCTCCCACCCACACCACCTTTCTCACCCTTCTTCTCCTAACCGCGGGGGACATCTCCCCGAACCCTGGTTCCTCACCACCTCACTCACCCACTAGGCACCCTCCCACTTCCACAAACTGCCGCAACCCCCTCAACCTGTCCCTCTGCTCCCCACAACCACCCCTCCATTCTCGTGTGCACTCCTGAATCGGTTTGCAACAAACTCACCGCCATCCATGACCTCTTTATCTCCCACTCCCTCAACCACCTAGCGGTCACTGAAACCTGGATCCAAGCCACTGACTCTACCTCCCCTGCGGCACTCTCCTATGGAGGTCTCGTCTAGACCCATTCACCCAGACCGAGCAGTTGTAGAGGTGGTGGGGTCGGCGTGCTCTTGTCACTGCTGAGGACTTTCCAAACCCCCCCTCTCTATCCTTCTCCTCCTTTGAGGTCCACTGCATCCGACTATTCTCTCCAACCCCTCTGAGGATTGCGGTAATCTATCTGCCTCCTGGACCCGTATTCAGCTTCCTTGATGACTTCTCCGCCTGGTTACCCTTCTTCCTCTCCTCTGAGCTACCTACCATCATCCTTGGTGACTTCAACATCCCTATCAACGTCAATAACCTGGCTACATCCCAACTCCTCCACCTAACCTCTTCTTTTGCACTCACACAGTGCACACAGTCCTCCACCCACAGCAATGGGAATACCCTGGACCTTGTTTTCTCTCATCTCTGCACCCTCCACAACCTCACAAACACCTCCTTTCCTCTCCCTGATCACAACCTCATCACCTTCTCTGTCTCCCCGTCCTCAAACACCTATCCCTCCAAATGTCAAACTATCACCAGCCGAAACCTCCGCAACTTGAACCCAGCCCCTCTCCACTCTGCAGCTGACAACTTTATGACAATATCCTTCCACTGTCCTGCCCTGACCTGGCCACTAATGCTTATAACAACTCGCTATCAGCCGCCCCAGACTCCTTGGCACTGCTAACCACACGTAGCATTAGACCCAGACCGCTTCAACCCTGCAGAATGACCACACCAAGAATCTTAAACGACGCAGCCGTGCGCTGGAGCGATTATGGCGCAAAACCAGATCCCAACAAGCGTTCACCAGCTATAAATCTGCCTTCCTCACCTACACCTCCTCCCTCCACGCTGCCAAACAAGCCTACTTTGTGACCCCCATCAATACCCTCTCCACCTGTCCTCGCCGGCTCTTCTCCACTTTTAACTCCCTACTCTCTCCCCCCCACCTCCACCCAGTACCTCACTCACCGCCCACGAGATTGCTAACCACTTCGCCCACGAGATTGCTAACCACTTCCAACACAAGATCACCGCAATCCGAAGGGACATCGCCACTGCTCAGACTTCCACCCCACCTAGCCTCCCTCCCATGATAACCCCCTCAACACTCCCCTCCGCTGACCTCACAACTGCCTAGACCCCCACTCAACATCCCGCACACTAAAACCCCCCCAACACTCCACTCCTTCAACCTCGCCACTGCCCAGACCTCCACCCCACCTAACATTCCTCACACTAAAACCCCCCCAACACTCCACTCCTTCGACCTCGCCACTGCCCAGACCTCCACCCCACCTAACATTCCTCACACTAAAACCCCCCAACACTCCACTCCTTCGACCTCGCCACTGCCCAGACCTTCACCCCACCTAGCATTCCTCACATTAAAACTCCCCAACACTCCACTCCTTCGACCTTGCTACCACTGAAGAGGTCACTAAGGTCTTCTCCGAAGCCTGCCTCACCACCTGCCCCCTTGACCCTGTCCCCACACAACTCCTATGGTCACCCTCCTCCTCCATCCTATGCTCCCTCACCCACATCTTCAATCTCTCCCTCTACTGGCGCATTCCCCTCCCCTCTAAAGCACGTGCACATCACTCCTATACTTGAAAAACCCTCCCTGGATCCCACTGACCTGAACAACCTTAGACCCATCTCCCTGCTGCCATTTACATCCAAACTCCTCGAGCGCTTAGTCTATAATCACACCTGAGTTCCCACCTCAACGACAACAACCTCCTCGATCCCCTACAGTCTGGCTTCTGTCCCCTACACTCCACTGAAACTGCCTTACTCAAACTCACCAACGACCTGCTAACTGCCAAAGCTAACGGCCACTACTCAGTGCTCCTACTCCTCGACCTTTCCGCGGCCTTCGACACAGTTGACCACCCCCTCCTCCTTAACCACCTCCCGTCCGGCCGTTGTATATAAACGGCCGGACGGTGGCACTGCAGGGTCAGGTGACCGTTTATAAACATCCTCCCCGCACCCTGCTTGTGCGTGCTCCCTGGGAGCATGCAGCACCGCGATCCGGTGCCCGCTGTGTCCTCCGGACACAGTGAAACACCGATCGTCGGACGGGACCTCTGTATGAGGTCCCGATCATGTGATCACTGATTGGCCAATCAGTGATCACATGCAAAGTAGTAAGCAAGATGTCACTTCATCATTGCTTACTACGTGTGAAATCTGTGAATGATCAGAGAGGTCACATGGTACAAGGCTATTTACAACAGCCTTGTACCATGTGACAAGCTGTGACCAATCACAGCTCACTCAG